AAATAAATTCATATTGAAATAATGGAAAATATTTTTTTAAATAATTTTATTTGACGAGGTATTATATCATCAGATAATATTAATCAAATAACTTGTTTTGGTTGTATATTTAAACATATATAATCAAATTCTAATCCAGATACTAAAGAAAAATCTAAATGAAGTGGATATGAATGGGTAATATTATTAATACGATAATTAAGATTAATAAATAATTTAAATAATTCATATGGAGATAAATATTCAAATATTTCAAAAAAATTTCACTTGAAAATAGAGCCCTTCACCGGGTCCAAAAACGACTTGCTGGACCCGGACAAAGAAATGTCAACCGTTCCATCAATTTTTGTGCTAATACATTATTCAAACGTTCATTTTGTAGGGCAATACATTCTCTTTCACCTCATCTATTTAGAGAAGCATTAGAGTCCTTCATAGCCGAAATGTTTTAATAGAAAAAGTCCGGGTCCAAACTTGGACCCGCTCGGACCCGGAAAGTTCAGACCCGGAATTTTTCTTTTAAAAACTTTTGACTATCACGAACTTTAATGCTTTTCTAAATAGATGAGATGAAAGAGAATGTATCGCCCTACAAAATGAACGTTTGAATAACGTATTAGCACAAAAATTGATGGAACGGTTGACATTTCTTTGTCCGGGTCCAGCGAGTCATTTTTGGACCCGGTGAAGGGCTCTACTTGAAAATGATTCCATTGATGATATCATATTGTTAACTTACTAAGAAATTTTACCAAATCAAAAATAAAAATCTGTCTAATATATATTTATATAGTGATAAAACATGTGAATTTCATCTACAGACACAAGAAAAAAAGAATAGCAATGATCGTTTATTTGATGATAGACATAATGATATTCTTATCTATCTATCACATTTTAGAATATATAATAAGTTGATTGTTCTACAAGAAATTTATTAAGAAAGAGAATTCTACTGATTAAATATAAATATTTGAAGACATTTATTCAGTTCATAATTATTTATTATTGGATGAAAATAAAAATAATACTTACTTCAGACAGCTATTTTTGAACGAGTGAAAATTATAAACATAGTTAGAATATCATTTATGGAACAAAATTATCAACATATAAATAAATTACAATTTAGTTTAAATGGTTATTGTTTATTATCATTTCCAGTTGATCTATTACAATAATTAGCAGCGTTCCGAATGAGAATTTGGAGTATGATGAGATTCCGCACTTTGTTTCAAGAACTAAAGTGAAAATGTATAAATACGTCTAGAAAAAAATTAATAGTTTATATTTCATACTCTAGACTTCTCTATGCATGTATACATATTAATAATAATCAAAAAAAAAAATATGTAAATTATCATTTAGTAGTAAAATTTAAATTATTTCGGAAAAAAGAATACAAATGAATATCATCATTAAATGAAACGATTAAAAAAATTGACTCAGTGATGATGAATAACTGTTCGTCTAGGTATTCATTTTAATTAATCAAAAATAAATGTAAATTTGAAGCAGAACTATTGAAAAATATTAAAGTTTCGAGGATCGATAAATTTTTCAAAATACTTCTATAAATTATTGAAATTGACAAATTTATTGTAAAATTCTGAAGATCTTTAAAAATATTTGAAGATTTTCGAAGAGTATAAGACATTTTTGATCATTATTAAAAAGTATTTAAAAGATTTTGAAATTGTAGTCAGATATAATGGTTCATTATATAGAACGTATATCAATTGTTAGTTCCTTATCAAGAATATCATTTCAGAAAATATGGATTTTCAGTTTTAGCTTCAATTAATTAATCGAACGATCAAAATGAATAAAAAAATTTAACAAAAGATTTTACAAATAGATGGAGCACAGTGGTAAAAATATTTATCTGCTCTTCTTTTAAACCTGCTGATATGACATTTGAACATTATGATTCTATATTAATATCAATTCAAAGTAATAACACATCATTAACAATTAGTGTAAAGAAGGAGGCTATCAAAAGAATTCTAAAGTTTATTATACAAAGATCTAGATGAAAAGAAAGACAAATTCATTGCTAAATTATTGTTTTTATCAAACAAAAACTGTGTTATTTGTTTGGCTTTAATTTATTTAAAATATAACACTTGTAAACTATCCTATTTCATATAGATAAAAGGTTAGATCACTATATAAATAAAGTCTAAAATATTAGAAATATTATAGATCTTTCTGCATTAGTTATGTGTCATTATAACAATAATCTAAGTGACATGATCTATATGACGAACACGTTCGTTCATGACTTAATAATATAATTAATAAATTACAGTTTATATAAGTGTAGTATATAACTTAGATCAAACAACAAAACAATATGATAAATTACATATACTTGAAAGTCATGAAGATAATTTAAATAATAGTTTTATTTTATTTGATTGAAAATCGTTATTCAAATTCTTGTGATATTTTACTATGATTAATTAAAGATAATAGTTGAATACAAAAAAGAATAATATATGATGTTTATATAAACATTCAATAACAATAATACATCCATCATAATATTTTAAAACCTATATGTATTTATACACTATTGTAACGGCCAACATTAAATAATATTCTTATTGAACTTGTTGGAAAATTATATGACCGTATAGTGTCCATAACCATCATTATGTATTGTACGTATTCAATTAAATCATTTATTCTTAATGTTTTTAGTTTTTATTTTCTGAATTGATTGTAACGAGTAAAATAGAATAAACTTCTTTTTCCACTTATGGTTAAGCGTTCTTTCTAGTTTTCTTTTTAAAAGTTATTAAGATTTTCACATACGATTAAAATTTATTTAGAAAAAATAAACAATAGAGAATATTTCTCGACATACATACATGCCAAACTTTCTATTAGTATATGAAATTTCATAGTTAATTCTCATACAAAATACTGAATATCTTTTACATCTTACGTTTCTGTGCTTTTTCTAAAGAGGGTATGTGGTTGTGACTATAACTATAGATGAAAACAAGACACACACACCCTCATGCTTTCACATCCAACATGTCTTCTATGTCAGGTATTAGTGTCGTAAACACTAATCTTTCCGCTCGATTGGGTTTGCACTAAATATACGAGACGAAATCCATGAAATTTCAAACATTAGAAGAATTATTTAGTTTTCAATATAATCTATAGATAGTCCACAGATTCGAAATTATCGTAGAAAATAATTGTGTCATACTATTATTCTTATTCATAACGCTTTAGTAAGATTTAATTGTTACTCAGCGAAATACTAGAAAGAAAAAGACGAATAAAGTTTCTTCATGAATAATGCTAATTTTTGAGATAGTTGAAAACGAGTTTTGAACTATCTATTCTTAAGATGTATCGCAGAATGAAATTTTCCATAAAAATAACATAATAGAATTTATGCAGTTTTTTCTTTTTGACTGAATTTATAATCTGAGAAGGCATTATTCAATGTCAGAATGTTTCAAGTTTGTCTTCAGACACCGATGGACAGTCTGCATTATATGCAATCACTAGAGGCTTTTTATTGAAAATGAATTATTCTTCACATGTTTGTAAGCATTGATAATAGAATATACAGACTACAAGTCGATTCATGAATGGAATTTCTCATTAAAAACTATTCAGTTTTCAATCAATAGGGTATAGATACATATATATGTCTGAACTATGAATGAGTATTGAAAAATTTGTGTTAATTGAGTCAGACGTTAGAAGTTTTTGGATCCAATAAAAGTAGCATACATTCCTACGGTTGTCTAAATGAAGTAAAAGTGTTGTTATCTTTGATAGTCTTTGTATCTTTTTTATTGTTGATGGTACAAGTAGGAAATTCCTTTCTAATATAAATCTTCTGTACACCACTTGGGGCGAATTTTTGTATTTCCATTAAGGAAAGGAAAATTCGCATCTTTCGACAAATATCGACTTTTGCATATATCCAACTATTCTCAGAAAACTATAGGAATAGAAGGTGGAAGTATGGTTGAATTTAAAGTAATTTCAACCATTTCATAAAAACCAACTAATTCCTATATATACATATCTGTTTCTATGAATGAGATTTTGTAGACTTCTCATACTTGTTCATGTCAGTGGCGTTAACTATTTTGCTTTCTCTGCCAAAACCATCAGAAGAAATGACTAAGTATAATTTGTAGATGTTAAAAATATATTATATTTGAT